CGAATGCAGGTGTGTTTTCGTTGGCAGATCACATTGAGCTCGTCATTTGAAAAGTAGATCTCCGAACGAAGAATTGTGGGCGCCCCTGATCTAGTGGATTGTACAATGATGTTCAGTGCATATGGTACAGTCTTTGTTTGCCATGCATACTGAACATCCAACTAACTCATGGCTGCTTTTATGCCCCCTGTCCCCAAGGTGCACCACAGAGTGCAGACAAAAAACGTTTTTGCAGATTGCACTGGACCGGAATGCAGGCAGGCGATCACACTGTGGGCGGGGGGCATGGCTGCGTTGCCATTGACTTCAATACAACCCCACGCCCCCTCCTGCCCCTGAATGCAGGGAGTCAGCCGGCTTACATTCCAGTGCGTTCTAGAGGCGCCGGCGTCCTGTCCTCCCGCGGTGCTCGTGTGGCCAAATGTGGCCGACGTTGCACACGGGGAGAGGTGTCCTGCCCCTTTCTGTCTGCGGCGTCTAACACATTCAGCCGGCAGCCACATGAGCACCGCGGGAGCATAGCCGTAGCTAGCTCCTTCTGCGCCCGAGGCAAGAAAAAAACCGTGCCCCCAAACAGGCCTGTGACATCACCGAGCGCCCTGCCTCCAGGATTTATTTATTTTACTATTTTTTATTTATTTTTTATTATTTTTTTATTTAATTTTTTACGATCATCCAGTTTCTGATTGGGGAGGAGCCTTTGTACAGGGTGCTACTTCCCATTGAAAATGAAAAAATGAATGAACAGGAAGTGATGTAAAGCAGAGGCAGCGGGAGGTCCGAGGAGCAATGAAAAAAGCACTTTAGCCACGGGGGGGGGGGTGACGGAGCCGCTGTCACAGCAGCATGTGCGGTGAGGAGAGAGAGCCGCCGGATGTCAGATCCAAGCCGAGCGTATCTCTCTCTCTCTCTCCTCACCGCTTGGAGTGCTGCTGTGATAGCGGCTCCGTCTTCCGCCGCCGGCTGCAGCGCTTCGTTCTCTTCTCTTCGGATCCCCGCTGCATACAGATGGGGAGAGCAGTGGGGATCCAGAGAAGCACCACGGAAGGAGGACAGGACATCGCGATATACCAGGCATCTACTAGGGATCGCTTTGCGATCGACTGGTAGATCACGATCGACCTAATGGGCACCCCTGCACTAGATAGCTTCATGGATCATAAATGCTCATGTGAGCGAATATTCCGCACACAGGAGGGTCTGCAATCCGAATATACCCTCGTGAGTTATCCCTGTTTACTTTATCATCCTTACCAACTGTGCTATACTGCCCCATCCCATAACACACCTGTATGGTTGCCTTACTAAAGACTAGAGCATTTTCACTTTCCAAAGTGAATTTTCTAGAGCTAGACTAGAGCATTTTCACTTTGCAGTGTGAATTTTCACTTAGGGAATAGTGCGAAGCTAAGTGAAAATTCGTTTTGCAAAGAATATCCACTGTGTGGAGCTGTGCTGACTTTAATCATCCAATTATGTACAAGCAAAAATCCTGTTTTTTTTTATTTCCTTTATTGTGATTTGCAAAGTGAACATTCACTCAGCTAAGTGAAAATTATTTTTGACAGTGTGTGCATGTAAATAAGGACCGTAGATTGTAAGCTCCTTGAGGGCAGGAACTGATGTGAATGGGCAACTATATAAAGCGCTGCGTAAAATTGCCGATGCTATAGAAATAGCTGTAATAAATAAATAATAGATGCCAGTTAGGCTGGGTTCACACCTAGGCGTTTTCCCCCACTTTCGTACTCGCGGAAAAACGCTCAAACAGGGAAATGCCATTATTTTCAATGTGCATGGTTCCCATCTGGGCGGTTTTCCGCGAGTACGAACGTGCGGGAAACCGCCCTACGCCCAAAGAAGTACATGTACTTCTTTGGGGCGTTTTGGTCGGGTGGTTCCATTGGGATACAGCCAAGTATCCCTTGGAAACGCGTGTTTTTCGCGCGTTTTTTTACCGCGAATCGCGGTTAAAAAAACGCGCGGAAAACGTGCATATTTAATCCACCTAGGTGTGAACCCAGCCTTAAGTGAACATACTCTACTCTCTTAGTAAATCCACCCAACTTGACCAACGTATTTTTAAAAATGCACTTCTGATATGCCACATTTTTCATCTTAACTGTTGTTAAGCAGAGGCAAAGTGATTGCACTGAAATCCCCCCCCCCTAATGGGCAATACACATATTTGTACATTTATTACAATAAAAAATAGGGACATCAAGTATGTAAAATTGTAAAATAATATATACAGCTTCTAGCACTACTAATGGCAAAAGATCTGTGACCACCAAGAAGGAGAGTAAAGTTGGGTATACACATGTCTATTTTTTTTTTAGCTGCTGGCCGCTGTCCAAATACCAAAATGCAGCTTGTAGCTGATTGGCTGCCAGCTTCGTTCGGCCAACCTGTTCCAAACTGTTCCTTTGATCAGTTGATCGAGGGATGCCAGGGGAAGGGTGCCGACAATGGCACCCACTGTGCAAATTTCGGCTGGTTCATCAGGAACCAGTAGAATTCTAACCACGTGTACCCTACTTAAAGGTGGCCTATGTAAGTGAATAATTGTGGAAAACATTTTAAACAGCAACGTACACTATGATATCTATAATGGAGACCGAGCATGTATACTACATAAGCTGTTAGCACAAAAGCACAGAGTCTGAATCATATCATGCAACTTGACTACAGCTTTTTATTCAAATATCATATTATAAACTTACTTGAGCAGAACTCCATATCTCTTGTTGCGATAATCACGATATTCGTACCATGGCTGGATCCTCAGCCGCTCTGGATGTGTCCCCTCCACCTGGAATAAGGTAGCAGCATCTTCTGGCTGCTGAATATAAACACTGTCATATGTTCCTAGTTTCTCCCTGTGTGAAATAAACAACTGTAATTACCATTTATATTCAACTTCACAGAAATCCATCAATGAATAATAGGAGTAACAGGGGTACCCTGGCAAACTAGGTGTAGCACCTCCCCTGAAGGAGCTGCTGGATGTTTTGGGCCCTTCTAGCCTCTCTACCAGTGATCTGACCTAAAGCTGCTCCAAACCACTCAATGACTCATCTGCAGCAACTGAATAACAGATTTTCCTTTGCAAAGTGTATTGGCTCAGTGTCCAGGGGACGGAGGGTGAGAGTATAGTAATCCCCAAAACAGCAGCAAAACTCCCTCCACTCAGCAGTATCTTTGCCTCTGCCACAGGCTAATGTAGAACTAGGTAGGCCAGACAGACCTTCAAATATCTCACGCCCCTCTCACAGGCTAGTAGTGGATCTTTTAGCCCAGACCAGCAATCTGTAATGGTGGATCTTTAAGCCGAAACTGGCAATACACTGAACTCGTCTAAAGGTGCTCCCCTTTAGTAGCCACCTTCCTGCATTCCCAGGCCCTATCACAGGTCATCTTCAAATTATTGGGCCTTGGCTCTGGAACCGTCAATAGACAATATGCCAGGCAGGCAAAAGATCTCTGGATTCTTCTCACCCTTGAAAAGACAATGACCCGATCCTTCATGTAGACATCTTCTCCAGGCCCTGGACCCTTCTAGAAGGTCCTCACACACATCACTCGTAGGTATGCACTGATACCAATACTAGTATCTGTGCCGTTGCCGAGTATTTGGGCGAGTAATCGCCCAAATGCTCAGATACCTAGCACGATACTTGAGCTTCCGGTATCAGGAAGCCGGGCAACGCGTCATTACACGCTGCCTGGCTTTCCTGATTGGCCGGGAAGCGGTCTCCACGCTCTCACGTCACTTGTGACAAGGGAGCATGGAGCCAGCTTCCCAGCCAATAAGGAAACCAGGCAGCGTGTAATGACTCGCTGCCCGGCTTCCTGGTTGGTCAGGAAGCTGGCCAATCAGGAAGCTGGGCACTGCGTCATTACACGGCGCCCGGCTTCATGATTGGACAGAAAGACGGCTACATGCTTTCTCATAATCTAGTGACGAGAAGCATGGAGACGGCTTCCCTGTTAATCAGGAAGCCGGGTGGCGAGTCTTTACACGCCGCCCGGCTTCCAGACTAATTAGGAAGCCAGGTGGCGAGTCATTACATGCCGCCTTGCTTCCTTAATGAGGCTTCCGGTATCGGTATTCGGTATCGGAGAGTACAGAAAAAAAACAGTACTTGTACTCGATACCAAAAATACGTATCGGTGCATCCCTAATCACTGGCATAAACATTGTAATGATTGACCAGCATGCAATAAATCTTCATAGCCCACAATTTATGCATCTTCTCACTCTATCCACTGAACAACACTCCCTAGCAGACAGAAGCAAACAATGTCCTACAGCCGTACATCGGCTAAAATCAGCCGTACACCGGCTGCCTTTGGCTGCCGGTGCCGAAGTGCAGAAGGAGTTCAACTTAGCCGATCCAACATATTGATCGGCTGAGCCGATGCTACGGCAGCTCACTCGGTGCCATTCACCCCTATCCTCATAGGGGGCGAACGGCAGTAAGTGAATAGCCGAATGCCGCAGAGCTGCATTTGGCTCGGCTATTCTGCTTGATACCTTGGTAAAATCGTTTAAAGAAAAAACAAAAAGAAAATTTTAAAAATAGTAGAAAAAAACACCGGCAACGATGCCGTCAAAAGAAAAACAACTGGCCGGAGCTAGCAGTGACAGATACAACTGTTCCCTATTGGCCGACACCTGCCAGAATCTTCTAGCAGTTCCCAGCCAATGAATAACGACAGGAGGGAGCCAGGAATGACGTCATGGCCGGCTCCGCCCAGTTGTTATTGTTTAATGACAGATCAGCGTCCCCAGGTCATTTGGGGACGCTGATCTGTCATTACAACTGGACAGAGCCAGCCGTGAGATCACGGCTGGCTCCGCCCAGCTGTTATTTGCATGCAGTTCGGTCGGCTTCAGTCGAACTTTCTCCACGCTTCAACTGTCACTTTGGCTCAGTCGAAGCATATCCCTTCGGCTCGGCTGCCTTCGGCTGCTGTGCGGGCTATTGTGAATAGCACATACAGAAGCCCTTTGGATCGACTGAACCGAAGGGCAGCGGCAGCCGAAGGATGAGCCGAAGCTACAGCTGTATCCTTCGGCTCCATAGTGAATAACCCCCTTAACCTTTACGTGTGGTGCATTTTCTGAGTTACCGACTATGGGTGGAGTAATCCTGTGAAAACTTCTCCAGGAATATGATTTAAGCAGGGATGAAGGTGAAAATGATTTCTCAAACAATAGGTGGATCTTTGAATAAAAATGTATTCTGGCCGCTTTCCTTGCGAGTGATATTGTTTAAATGGAAATGTTTAATAAAATCACGTTCAATATAGGGAACAAAAGAAAGGCCATTTGCTGGGGGAGAATTTTTGGCTATTAGATGTAGGCCCGAACGCATATTTGGTGGCTTTTGGATGAGAAAAATATATGTTATTGCAAAATACAGTTATAGGTAGAATATAATTTATATGAAAACGAAAGAAAAAAAATGATTCTTTGATTGAATCTATCGAAATGACTTTGCAGCAAAAAATGAATGATTGTTAAAAGAGCCTTGGATAAAGAATCTTATCTCTAGTCACATGGACACATTAGGGCTGTTTGGCTCCATTAGTGGTCTGTGTGTTTAGATGTTTGGTCTAAACAAATGATTAAATGTTTGTTTTTGATATATTGATACTGAAAGTCATCTTTGTGGTTTAGCTGTTTTTATTTCACATGGGAGTATAAGGCATTTTTGTATTACCACGGCATAGATGGAAAATGTTTAGTAACTAACCCTATTTCTAGAGATTTACAGTGCTTTGGAATAATCTATAATAAAATATTGAATTGTTATAAAAGAAATACAAGAAAACAATGGTGCACGTGTAGCTCTTCTTTTATCCTTTTGTTTGTGATGCATATGCTCAAGAAGGTGCACTGGGACTAATTAGGGTTTTAAGAGGCCCATAGATGTTGTCCACAAGGTTCCAGTGTTTCTTACCAAATGCCGAGCTTTCTCCACACAAAAAAGTTCAACTTAATTTCAAGTGTATTTAAATCCAAAAACAAATATTCACTGCTCAAAAGAATTAAAGGAACACTTTTTAATCAGAGTATAGCATCACGTCAATGAAACTCCTGGGATATTGATCAGGTCAATTAAGTAGCAGAGGGGGTTGTTAATCAGTTTCAGCTGCTTTGGTGTTAATGAAATTAACAACAGGTGCACTAGATGGACAACAATGAGACTACCTGCAAAACAGGAATGGTTTTACAGGTGGTGGCCACAGACATTTTTTCCCTACTCATCTGTTCTCACTGTTTTTCTCTAGTTTTGCATTTGGCTAGAGTCAGTGTCACTACTGGTAGGATGAGGCGATACCTGGACCGTATAGAGGTTGCACAGGCATGCCAACTCTTCCAGGATGGCACATCAATACCTGCCATTGCCAGAAGGTTTGCTGCGTCTCTCAGCACAGTCTCAAGAGCATGGAGGAGATTCCAGGACACAGGCAGTTACTCTAGACGAGCTGGACAGGGTCCTTAACCCATCAGCAGGACCGGTATCTACTCCTTTGTGCAAGGAGGAACAGGATGAGCACCGCCAGAGCCTTACAAAATGACCTCCAGCAGGCCACTGGTGTGAATGTCTCTGACCAAACGATCAGAAACAGACTTCATGAGGGTGGCCTGAGGGCCCGACGTCCTCTAGTGCTCACTGCCCGGAACCGTGGAGGTCCATTGGCATTTGTCATTGAACACCAGAATTGGCAGGTCTGCCACTGGCGCCCTTATTTTTCACAGATGAGAGCAGGTTCACCCTGAGCACATGTGACAGACGTGAAAGGGCCTGGAGAATGCCATGGAGAACGTTAAGCTGCCTGTAACATTGTTCAGCATGACCGATTTTGTGGTGGGTCAGTCATAGTCCGGGGAGGCATATCCATGGAGGGACACAGAGACCTCTACAGATTACAGGTATCGGGATGAAATCCTTGAACCCATTGTCAGACCCTACACTGGTGCAGTGGGTCCTGGGTTCCTCCTGGTGCATGACAATGCCCGGCTTCATGTGGCTTCAAGAGTATGTTACTTGAGGATGAAGGAATTGATACCATTGAATGGCCCCCACGCTCGCCTGAACTGAATCCAATAGAACACCTCTGAGACATTATGTCTCAGTCCATCCGACACTGCCAGGTTGCACCTCAGTCTGTTCAGGAGCTCAGTGATGCCCTGATCCAGATCTGGGAGGAGATACCACAGGACACCATCCAACATCTCATTAGGAGCATGCCCTGACGTTCTCATGCATCCATACAAGCACGTGGGGGCCATACAAACTAATGAGTACCATTTTGAGTTGCTGCAATGAAATTTCAGCACAATGGACTAGCCTGCTGTATCATTTGTTCACTTTGGTTTTTGGGGTGTCTTTGAATTCAACACTCTGTAGGTTGATCATTTTTCATTTCCATCAAGCGATGTGGCATTCTTTCATTTCTAACACATTACCCAGTCCATTATACAGTAGATATCCAGCATGATATTTTTCCCCATTGAGATCTGATGTGTTTTCAAAGTGTATCTTTAAGTTTTTTTGAGCAGTTTATATATACCTATCAGCTATAACCTTATGACCAGGTGAAGGTGAGAGGTGAAGTGAATATCATTGATTATCTTGTTACAATGGCACCTTAAAGTGGATGGGATATATTCAGCAGCAAGTGAACATTTTGTCCCTGAAGTTGATGTGTTGGAAGCAAAAAAAAAATTGAGCAACTTTCAATAGAGCCAAACTGTGATGGCTAGAGGACTGGGTCAGAGTAACTCCAAAACTGTAGCTGTTGTAGCTCTTCCCGATCTGCAATGGTCAGGACCTACCAAAAGTGAACCACCATTTATTGAAACATAGCGTGACATACATCAAATAGCCAATGTTTCGGGGCCACACTGGGTCCCTTTATCAGGGCGACATAGAACAGTGGTATAATATACAACACACATATACTGTATATATACCCAAAACCTCATGACAAAGTCTCAAACACGTCCCCATGACATCACAATAACGCCAGAGACCGCAATAAGTCATTGTGTAAGTCAGCCACCAGTCACCCAATGGCACTGTGCGGTTCAGCCACCGGTCACTCAAAGACACTGTGCGGCTCAGCCACCAATCACCCAATGACACTGTGTGGCTCAGCCACCAGTCACCCAATGACAATATGAGGCTCAGCCACCAGTCACCCAATGACAATATGAGGCTCAGCCACCAGTCTCCCAATGATGTTATGCGGCTCAGCCACCAGTCCCCCAATGACACTGTGTGGCTCAACAATCAGCCACAGAATGACGCTGAGCAGCTCAGCCACCAGTCAACCAATAACACTGTGTTGTTCAGCCACCAGTCACCTAATAACACTGTGCGACTCAGCCACAAGTCACCCAATGACACTGTGTTGCTCAGCCACCAATCACTCAATAAATTTGTGTGGCTCATCCACCAGTCACCCAAGGACACTGTGTGGCTCAGCCACAAGTCACACGATGACGCTGTATGGCTTAGCCCCCAGTCACCCAATGACGCTGTGCGGCTCAGCCACCAGTCACCCAATGACACTGTGGGTTACTAGGAAAGGCAAACTGGTCAAATCATCCGCTCCTTTGACAAACTGCGAAAAGCTTGGGTTCAAGTTGAACCCATGTCCAACACAAACCTGAAGCTCATCTGTAGTATCTTTATGTGAGCGATTGCAAACAAGCAATTTATCATCGATTAAAATATCGAATCATGCAACACCTAGGGTATCGATTGAAAATACAACCTGGTAGAAACAATCTATTAGCGGCTTCCAGGCCGTACATTGTAATTAAATGGCAGGCCGGGAGCTTCTTGAATGTGAGTGGGTGTTTTTAAAGGAGAACTATGGGGTCAGTGTTTTCCCCCATAGTTCTCCTTAGGGTAACGGGAGGACACAAACTAGCGTCCTCCCATCACCCTAAGCTCAGTATACCGCGAGCTACAGCTCGCGGTATACTGAGACGCCGCACCTGGAGCGGATCCCGACGTAGATGACGGGATCCGCCCAGCTGCGTGAGTGACAGCTGGCTCTGCCTACCTAGAGGCAGAGCCAGCTGTACCCGCCCCCTCCCCCGTCCGTTCCGCCAGTCAGCGCTGGCAGATCGGAGCGGGGAGAGGGGAATCCAGCCCCCTCCCCTGTCACTGCAGAGAGCCGTGACAGGATCGAGAGGTGAGGGAACCCGGTATGTTTTCCCTCACCTCCCGATCTACTGAGCCGACCTGTGACAGTCTCATTGTCACAGGTCGGCTTAGAACTATGAGGTGAGTGGAAATCACTCATGTCATAGTTCTCCTTTAAACGTCCTTGCCCGTCCCGCTCGTGCACGCCGACAAGCGAGAAAACTCTTAAATTGTAAACAGCCAGCGATGGCTGTTTACATACAAGCGTTCCGGCGTCTGTAGAGCCGCTGGATCATTTGTATTATGCATGTGTGTGTGTGTGCGGCTCCCCTCCACCGCTGCTGATCCCGAGCTCCGCTAGGCCCGGGACCCGCACAGCGGCTCTGTCACCAGAGATTAGATGGAGATCAGTACACGTTCTCCCTCTGATCTTTCCTCTGTTCTCTGAATGCAGAAAGTGATGTGTATTACATCATTTCCTGCATTCTGCTGTTATTCTCTGGCTTCTGTAGCTGGAGAGAAGCTGGTGAAGCAGATTTCTGCTTCATCAGCTTCTTTGGGGGTCCCTAGGTGACATTAGGGGTCTTAGAGATCCCTGATGTCTCCATAAAGAGGACCTATCTGTGTAAATTGGCTATCACATAGGGGGATTGTTAGCCCCCTATCTGATAGCAATAAAGTGGGGGGAAAAAGTTTTACAAAAATTTAAATCACAAAAAAAGCTCTATCTGTCCCCTAAAAATAGTATAACATTAATTTCAGTACAGCGTTGCATCACTGAATAAATGTCAGTCAAAATACGGCAGTTCTGAATACTGAAAATGGTCTGTCCAGGAAGGGGGTGTAAGTTCAAGACACTAACCAGCAGTATCAGCGCACGCAAGCACATTGCTACCTATGTACAGTACAAAGTAGACAAACTTAAGGTGCCCATACACTGCACAATTCTCGTACGAGAATTACGGGAAATCCCGCGATCGTACGAGAATCGTGCAGTGTATGGAAGGCGTGCGACCGTTTCTACTGTACGGTCGCACGTCTTCCGTCGAACCAGCATGCTAGAAAACCAGCCGGGAATCGTACGATTCTCGGCGAGTTAGTGGCCTGCTGGTTCGACAACTGCCGAACGGGCCGGTGTGCGCACGCGCACACTGCCCGTTTGCAGTCATCGTAAGCCCGCCCCTCATTACAGTCATTGTAAGCCCGCCCCTCAGGGGGCGGGCTTGCGATGATCGCAAGTACGATCTGCCTGTCCAAGATGGGCAGATCGTACGTTTTTTTAATTACTTTACAACCATAGCAAGACTAAGGTCTGGTTGCGATGGTTGTAAAGTGTATGGGCACCTTTACTGAGATGAGAAAGTGGGACACCTTTTAGAACAGGAGTGGGCAAACTCCAGCCCTACAGCTGTGGTAAAACAACAAAGCCCATCATGCATCTGTCATGACTGTGGCCGTGAGAATCTTGCAATGCCTCATGGGATTTGTAGTTCCACAACACCTGAAGGGCCGGAGATTGCCCACCCGTGTTTTAGGACAAAGTATATATGCTAAGAACACACCCCTGCCATGTCCCCAGTTACGCCAACCATGGAGATTAATATGAAGACAATGAGCGGTTAAACTTGTTGTGCGTTTGTCACCACCAATTTTTCTTTACACCAGCTTTTCATAATACCATCATTTAGAAGTTGGAGAAAACGTGTAGTGCAGTATAACGGTGAATGTTTTCCAGAGGCCTGTGTCTTGGTAATGAATTCAATGTAAATCCTTCAGTTTCTCATATGTAATGGTATATAGTTTATATATAGCTAAAATAATGAAATACTAGTAAGAATTAGCACACTGACAAACAATAAAACACGTTGAAATGATTTCATTTGTTTTACAAACCTTTTCACAAATATATCAAAGAAATGTCTACCAGTGTACAAGCACATTGCAGAGTGAAGCCCCATTTACTCTCATTAGGGCTATTTAAGAATTCTGGTAACAAGAATCTGCAGATTCCTGTGTCCGGAATCACAGGTGTGCAAATAGCTGCTGCCGTTCAGCCTGTACAAAGCAATGACACGTTGATAATGGCTGCAGCTGTTCGAATGTAGTCGGACACCACTGATAACCAGCAGTTAGGGACAAATGATATTCTCTGGAAGCACCCAGTCTGCATCCAGGGACAATCATCTGTCCCTATACTTAGGTAATTAGCAGTGTTCCATGACATCTGAACAGCTGCAGCCACCATCAACCTGTCATAGCCTTGTATAGGCTGAGCGGCAGCAGCTATTCGCACACACACACCTGAGATTCTGGACCACCAGAATTGGCAAATAGCCCTAATGATTGCCCTGTTATCGAACAGCAGTGTGAACTGCCGCAAACACCTATTCACACACACCTGAGATTCTGGACCCGGGAATTCAGAGATTTGCTGCCTGAATTCTTAAATAGCCCTAATCACAGGTGTGAATGAGGCCCAAGGTTGCCTCTGTCTTTGGTTGTTGGCTGTGATGTGCTAATGTTCAGGTAAGCTGCTTGGGAGCTTATTGGAATTTATGTTAATGCATGTCTGCCATCGTGAATATTAATGTATGCTCCATTTATCCATTCATATGTGTTTGTTGTATTACATTATATTTCTTGAAATATGCCAGTAACATTATACATTAAATACCC